AGAACCACACCCACTTTTCTGATCATACTTATAATTTTTGTATTCTTCTCAGCAATCGGTGATTATCTGTTTAAATTTGTTCCTGTTCAAGAGATGCTGCTCCACTCTTGAGACGCACAATGTGTTTGGTAACAGAGGGTCAGATTCATCTAAACATTATTTTTCCACAACCCAATGCTTTAGATTTACATTTGTAAATACCCAGAAACCAGCAATGTAGATTTCCTTCAATCCATCTCACTTTCACTGTTTCCTGCCCAAGAATTGATCACTGTAAATTTTCTGTCAATATTTCTTCAGACTTATTGATCTTTCTTTTTATCAGTAACTTAATCCAGCTATCCACATTATTGCCTTTCGATTATTATTAAAAATATTTATATGTATGCATGTCATAGCTTTTTTTGGAAAATTTTGAAGAAATGAAACAAAAAATCAATTTTCAAAATAGTATTAAACTAAAAACACAATTTAATGACAATTTTACAATAACAGTCCACACGCACATCGGTTTTGGAGAAGATATTGACCAAAAATTGTTTTTTTTTTCTTTTTTTCTCTGGGAGCACTCCCTCTATCTCATCCGGCCTGTGAGAGATGGAATAGAATAAATTAATAAGACCAGTTCCAGGATAACAATGTGTGAAGTCCCCCCAATGAAATTCTTGTATTTTCCAGTTTATTAATATTGGAATCCAAACATCGAGGGGAAATTCTGGATAGTAAATTTTCAAGCCTAGAATAATTAAAAACTCAAGAAACTCTTTTATTACGCCATCATCTTCACTTTTCTTTATTCAAATTATGATCTTTATGTGGAGAAAATATGTTACACTGGCAGAAATTGTTATTAAATTTTAATATTAAGCATCAGAAACTGACTGTGAGTCATCTTTTTCATTTTATTTGCTCAATTTCTTGAATTTTACAAATGCTCTTAAACATTCCACTCAATATATGTATTTAGTTGATGCAAACATTTCTTGGTGGTTATGGTAATTCAATTTGCTGAATATGGACTGAAATAAATAATTTCTGACAGCATCCCACCCACCCCTACAGTAATTAATGGATTATTCCGAGTTACATCATAGTGTTAACAGCTCATAGTATTTCAAGGCTCTACTATGTGTACATTCTAATATACATATAGTGTACAAGGTAGTAACATTACAAGTGATATGTCAGTATAGTGGATTTTCTTGTTTTCTGGTAAGATTGCATTTTATCTCTATGTATGTAAATGTGTACAATATAGTTTTGTGTCTGGCCAATTTCAGAATTGATCGTTGTCTGCTGTTACTTGCTGAACTCTATGGCTATCACCTATATAGAGATTATCAAAATAGAGATTACTGATACGCTTGTTATTTTAAGCTGCATTTCCTGAAGTAGGTAGTGCAAGTGTAGATACATTTAACTCACCCATTGAGGGCCATAATTTTTTTTTCTGCCAAAAATTTGTTGCAATGTATTTTTACCTAATTTCTCATTTCCTACAGATCTTGATCAAATTTTTCTTTTTTTTTAAGTGATCTGAATTTATATTGTGAAAGGTTATAACAGTGGATTTTTGCGAAATGATGACAAAATGTCAATCAGCTTTTTCAGCAATTTACTTGTG